GGTGGGGCGTTGTATCGCTGTTGTGACAACAATGTCGCCAATGTATCATTGCATGGACAAAGTGTGCGCCCATCGGCACACAAATATTAAGACTCTACAGGTGACGGTATTGTTGACGTTAGGCCGAGCCAGGGATCAAGCCGGGGTTGTCATGGGTTCATCAGGCCACTGGCGCCACAACCGGATAGTCGGTCCCACAACCAGGTGGTCTGGTGTTACTAGGCTTTTTTTTCCACCCGTTTTATGGCGACATGCGACCCTTTATTGCGGAGACGAGCTCTACAATTTCGGTCACGCTGGCTGTGGTGTTCTTCGTCAGTTGCGATGACAAGCTCTTTGACATCACGCAGATCCCCAGCGAGCATTACCCTGACATGTTGGTCGCGGGAAAGACTCCGTCCACTGAGCAGGAGTTGTTGCTCACCGGTTTGCAAATACTGAAGTCGCACTCGCCGGATCTTGCCGTCCAGTTCAAGACACCCTACATGATGTGGAAGGAAGGCGAAATGCTGCAAGAGGAAGAGCTGAAAGACAAAGAGCTGAAAGGCGATCAAATGGAAGACCAACAGACAGACAGTCGGCAGCAGGAAGGCCAGCCGGAAAACCAGACGCAGGCCGTCCGAACCCGTGCAGCCTTGCACCGCTTGCTGATGCCCGATGCAAACGCTTGGCGCCATCTGCGGCGCGCCGTTGCTAGCGATCTCCTGGAGTCCGAGCTGGTGCGGAAACGGGTCCTAGCGTCTGTCTTCGGCTTCCTCTTGAACCTCGACGCCCTGGAGGAAGCACAGGAGGTTTCGAAACCGTCGGCTGAAGTAAGACTCCTTAGGGACCAACCGGATGAACAAAGACTGTCGAGTGACCAACCGACAAAGGGGCAACCGACAAAGGGGCACCCGAGTAAGGGACAACCGAGTAAGGGACAACCGAGTAAGGGACAACCGAGTAAGGGGCAACCTAGTAAGGGGCAACCGAGTAAGGGCAACCGAGTAAGAGGCCAGTGACCAGAGGGCCAGCGACTAAGGGCCAGCGACTAAGGGCCAGCTACCAGGGGCAACCCACTGAAGGACCACAGACTAGGGGGTCACCAGCTAAGGTGAAAGGGCCACCGGCTAGGGGCAGCCGACCAAGGGGCCAGCGACCAAGGGGCCAGCGACCAA